TTGGCCTTATTTTTAGTTTTCCAGTGTCAATATTTTCCCCTTTACAGAGGAAGTATAAGGAACTGCCAGTACCAGAAATTAAATTGCCTTATTTACAGATCTAATATCATACAGTAACACTTTTTAAGGTTGACACCAGTCCAACATTTTTGAGGCAGAAAAAACCCCAGGGAATGAAAATGCATGTCCATAGAAATCATGTTTAACAAGTGAGACGTAACCTAATAGTGGCAGTACAAGCCATTTGAAAGCAGTTTAGGCATGCAGAGAGAAGAGGCTGGCAGTTACCAAAGCAATGCAAGCAGCAAATACTGTATTAGAGCTCTTGGTGTGGATAATTTTCAATTCCTCACTCTGTGTAATACTAGAAATATAGAGATAAAAAGAAAATTTCATGGGAGTGATAGAGACTTTTTTATGTAAGGGGCAAGGAATTTATTTTGCCCCCTTGTGACTATATCCCTAAGTGGGTCCCACAAAAAACACTGCTATTGATTCTACACTTCTTTTAGAAGGTGCTGAAAATTAACACTCCAATCCAGTGGTTTCAAAACTTTAGTCATTCAGGTATTTTGGTCTTCAGCTCCCAGAATTCAATGATTGCCCAGTATGGCTGCAATTTCTGGGAGCAAAGGTTCAAAACACCTGGAAGACCAAAATTTACGAACTTCTGATCTAAGGCTACTTCTAGATTGACATATAATCCAGTTCAAAGTAGATGATCTGGATTTTATATGGCAGTGTAGAAGGGGCCTAAATCAAGACAAAATGAAGGCTCAGAGTACAAGCTTATACACACTTACCTGGAAGTCAGTCTCATTGATTTCCATGGAATATTCTTCTTAATCACCCGGTGGCGCAATGGGTTAAACCCTTGTGTCAGCTGAACTGCTGACTGAAAGGTCAACTGTTTGAATCTGGGGAGTGGGGTGAGCTCCCATCTGTCAGCTCCAGCTTCCCATACAGGGACATGAGAGAAGCCTCCCACAGGATGGTAACACATCTGGGCATCACCTGGGCAACTTCCTTGCAGACAGTCAATTCTCTCACACGAGAAGTGGTTTGTAGTTTCTCAAGTCGCACACAAACCAAGCTAGAACTTGCTAACATGCAATTTATTATTTTAAGGAATATGAATTTCATTTGGTCTTTTAATTGCAGACATTAAGTGCTAGACATAGGCATATGTTTGGCAGTTTTTCTTTGGTCTTTTGTAACCAACTGTATCTAAATGAAGATGCTAAACTTTTAATTGCTATATTTACTAAATGGCGTTTGACAGTGTTTTAATGAGAATTTTAATTAATGGATAATTTTATATCTATCATTTACTGTTTTATTAGATTAGCCATTTTAACAAATTGCAAGCTGTCTATTATCACAATTGTTGGAGAAAACTGGGATAAAACAGAATAAGAGAAAAGTAAGCTGTTCATTTGATTGGAAACATGCAACATTCCCTTATACTTTATTGTTAGTGTACCTTTCCTCTTCAGGAAGAAGGAAGAATAAAGGGAACAAAGAGGTAAAAAAATAAATTTCCTTGGGAATAAACTGCAGCAAACACAGATGGACTGAGTTCTGACAAAACAAAATATGCATATATTCAGCTTTTGAATTAAAGGCATCTTTCTTCTGAACATAAAACATCTCATTTCCAGGCTTGCTTTTTTGATATGGACATGGAAGAGCACCATCTGCTGATGACACGGCAAAGAATTTTATATAAACCTTCCTCGGCCATCTCTGTGAGCAGACACCAATGACATAAATCAAGAGAACATACCACAGGAGTGAGAATAGTTTTTGGTTATAAAACTGTATTCATATACCTGGGAGTAAGCCTAACTCAATTAGTGTCTTCATGTGTATATACTGCACTTTTAGTAAGTATAAATGAACACCCCTTTAATTCAAACCTAAATGCTTAAAAGATGGTAAAAATGCAAGATTTTCAACAGGGCTGGCAGAAAAACAGATGGGGATCTCTGGGAGAATGATTCGCAGTAGACTTTTGAATATTTCCGTCTCTCAATAGCAAAAAACCACAACCCCCCCCCCCCCCAAAAAAACCCCAAACAAAACCAAAACAACCAAGACACATTGCCAGGTCTATCCCTGTAAGAATCTGCTGAATATTGGCTGGCTGGGTTGTTGTAGATTTTTCGGGCTATATGGCCATGTTCTAGAAGCATTCTCTCCTGACATTTCACCTGCATCCGTGGCAGGCATCCTCAGAGGTTGTGAACAACCTCACAACCTCTGAGGATGCCTGCCATAGATGCAGGCGAAACGTCAGGAGAGAATGCTTCTAGAACATGGCCATATAAGCCAGAAAAATCTACAACAACCCAGTGATTCCGGTCATGAAACCTTCGACAATACATTGGCTGGTTGCTTTTGACCAGAGCTACAGTGTGCCAAATAATGCAGCTTGAACTGCATTATATGGGTTTACTGCACTATTTGGCAGTGTAGAACCAGCCCAGGTCTCTGTGCAGCTCTGGGACTATCTACATTGACCACATACAGCATTGCTTGTGTGTGTGTGTGTCAGGAGCAACTTGAGAAACTGCAAATCACTTATGGTGTGAGAGAATTGGTTGTATGCAAGAAAGTTGCCCAGGGAATGCTCGGATGTTTTACCATCCGGTGGGAGGCTTCTCTCATGTCCCTGCATGGGAAGCTGGAGCTGACAGACAGGAGTTCACCCCGCTCTCTGGATTCAAACCATCCACCTTTTGGTCAGCAGTCCTGCCGGCACAAGGGTTTAATCCATTGTGCCACTAGGGGTGCCAGCATTGCTGGTTTGGAGTAGGGTACTCTGCATTAGAGCTGCTCGATAGCCACCAAGCCAATAGTGAGGCACTGAGCTGACCTGGTGGCTGGGTGGAGTCTGCATGGGCCAGCCAGCACCAAAATTGGTTTGAGTCCGTTCTCATATCATCTTCTTCCTCAATAGAGCAAACAGATGAAGGATGGAAACAAAGAAGAATCATTTTTTTCCTGGACCTCCTTTTCTCTTATCACACTATTGCTTTGGCCAGCCTCGGTGGATGTAATGAATGAGCACCAGCCTAACTATTCACACCATTAAAGAGTGCAGGGGAGCTCTGGAGCATCCCATGACTTCAAAAAAACATGAAACAAGGACATGTTAAGTGGCCTTAGCAGGGATTAGGGTGAATGGACCCCAGACATCATGTGGACACCATGGAGTACATTCATCCCACTGCAATCCATTTTGCACATGTAAACGGCCCCTCTTGTTGAACAGCTTTAAGTGCTTGATATTAAGATCAGGCGTAGGGAACAGGTGACTGACCGCTATGCCTGACCCTGGGAACAAGCACTGGACATGTTTTATATTTATATCTTTGGCTGAGTGACCTCAGGATTCTAGTAAAAAAACACAGTAGGTCCCTCCACCTTAAGACCTTCTTGGCCCTTTTTTAGGTATATAGATTGTAGTTCTCCCATCGTAATATTAAGAGATGAGACTACCAAAAGGTATTCAACAAAACTGAGACACTAACTAAATGTATTATTTCAATATATAATATTTTAAATGAGTGAATAAATAAATAAGACAATGACCTGAAATTGGCATGAATTTAATTCATGCCTAGCTTGGTGATCAACAGCAAATAAGGCTGCATACTTAATTGCCTGAAAGGAAGCCCCATTGAATCTACAGAGAGTTACTTTTAAGTGGTAAGTAGTATATGCTTCATCGTACAATACATGTTTACAACATATATTTACAGTAGAATCTTGCTTATCCAACCTTCACTCATCCAATGTTCTGTATTATCCAACACAGTCTGCCTCCCACCCGGATCCACAGCTGTTTCAATACATTGCGATGTTTAGTACTAAATTTGTAAATACAGTAATTACTACATAACGTCACCATGTATTGAACTGCTTTTTCTGTCAGTTTGTTGTTGTTGTTGTTGTTGTTGTGTGTTTTTGTGCTTAATTTATAAAATTATAATGTAATTTGATGTTTAATAGGCGTTTCCTTAATCCCCCCCTTATAATCCAACATTTTCGCTTAGCCAACATTCTGCCGGCCCGTTTATGTTGGTTAAGTGAGACTTTACTAAAAACTCCTGCCAATACTTCTTTATTCAAGCATAAGGTAAAGGTTAAAGTTTTCCCTTGACATTAAGTCTAGTAATGTCCGACTCTGGGGGTTGGTGCTCATGCCAATTTCTAAGCTGACGAGCTGGCATTGTCCGTAGACACCTCCAAGGTCATGTGGCCAACATGACTTCATGGCACGCCATTACCTTCCTGTCGAAGTGGTACCTATTGATATAGTCACATTTGCATGTTTTCGAGCTGCTAGGTTGGCAGAAGCTGGGGCTAACAATGGGATCTCGCCCCACTCTCCAGATTCGAACTGCTGACCTTACAGTAAGCAAGTTTGGCAACTGAGCAGGGTAACCCGCTGCGCCACCGGGGGCTCCTCATTCAACATAAAGGCATCAAATAATCTTTCAAACATATGATGTGACCTTGGACTCTCTCTTTTATAGATGAATAATTATATATAAAAATTATGATGAGAAAGAGAATTGTCGAAGGCTTTTATGGCCGGAATCACTGGGTTGTTGTAGGTTTTTTTCGAGCTATATGGCCATGTTCTAGAGGCATTCTCTCCTGATGTTTCGCATCTATGGCAAGCATCCTCAGAAAGAGAATTTTCATGTTACCATTTCAGAATTGTTTTTAAAAAGCAAACATTTTAAACAAAGTTTTCACTTCTGGACAAAGTAGAAAGGCTTGACAATAATATTCAATATATAGTATTTTCTTCTGAACTAGTAAACAGTAGAATTGAGATAATTTCCTGTATGCAAAACCAATACTTTCTGTTTTTAATGCAAACACAAACATAAGAAATATTTGCTGTTACGGACTTACAGGAAAGATATTACTGAAATTAAATCCTAATCTGAAAGGGAGGGGGGAAAGGAAGTCACAAAGCAGGATTAGTAACACAAACGTTTATTCCTTCCGACTCATGTCTTTTGCTTTGGCTTTTCAGAGAAAGGGACGTTTTCTAGCAGCAAGTCTTTTCTTGCTATCAGCACTAGAAGAGAAAATGTGACCTGTTAGACTTTTACAAAGACAGATCAATCACTTTTTCATCAGCCTGGGTCATAAAGGAGCTTGAAGAACTAACAGAAATATTCTTTTTGCTAATCTCAAATAGTCTTGTACTATCTTACAATGCTTTATGTCCTGTCAACTAGAAACAACAATCCATTTCTTACAGTAATAATGGATACTTCCAAATAAGGCCTTTAATGCACAATCACCTGATAATGTGTCATTTACAGAATCATATGGTAGATCACAATATATTCTAATTTTAACCCTCCTGTGTTAGTCTCTTGTTTTTTTACCAATGGAAAATCCATTAAGACAGGAAAGAGAGATACCTGTACAACATCTTTTCATTTGTAGTACAAGCTGAGTATGCCTTATCAAAAATGCTTGGGACCAGAAGTGTATTGGATTTCAGTTGTGTTCAGATTTTAGAATAACTATATTTCCATATACATACATAATGAGATATCTTGGAACTTGGACCCAAGTCTAAACACAAAATTCATGTCTGTTTCATATACACCTTATACACGTAGACTGGTGCAGCTCAAGATTTCATGGCCGCCATGACGACCATGGGGCTATCACAAATTATATCTGGCCCTATNGAGCTAGCAGAGGTGGTCTCCAATTCGGCCTTGGTCTCCCAGCGCCTGGTTGTGCTGGGAGACTTTAATATTGATGCTGAGACCTCCTTGAATGGTGCAGCTCAAGATTTCATGGCCGCCATGACGACCATGGGACTATCACAAATTATATCTGGCCCTACCCATCAGGCTGGACACACACTCGACCTAGTTTTTGTGGCGGACAGTGGAATGATCAGAGTGGAAGAACAAAACATCCTTCCTGTGTCATGGTCTGATCACTATCTGATCAGTTTTAGACTTTCTGCGACCCTTAACCTCCGCAGGGGTGGAGGACAAATTAAGATGGTCCGCCCCAGGAGACTGATGGATCCGGATGGTTTCCTGAGGAATCTTGGGGTTCTTTCTGCCATGGAGCCTGGCGATCCTGTCGACGTCTTGGTCGATCTCTACAATAGGGAAATGACCAGGGCGATAGATACGGTCGCTCCCGAACGCCCCGTCACGTTGCGTCATGACAAGCCGTCTCCCTGGTTCTCCGGGGAGCTGGCTGTGATGAAGCATGCGAGGAGGGGGCTAGAGCGCACTTGGAGGAGATCTCGGGACGTGTCTGATCGAGCACGGGCTACAGCCTCTCTTAGGGCGTATACTGTGGCTATACGGGTAGCCAAGGAGTCCTATACGACTACCCGTATAGCGTCTGCAGCAAATAGATCTTCGGAGTTGTTCCGGGTCGTTGGGGAGCTCCTTCAGCCACCTGTGGTGGAGGAGGTTTTTGACGACCCGGAAACTCGGTGTAGCGATTTCGCACACCATTTTGCAGGCAAAGTCGCTCAGATACGCCTTGAGCTCGACTCCAATTTCACCGCAGTGCCAGAGGAGGTGACTGAGGCATCTGCTTGTCCAACTTTGTGGGATTCTTTTAGGCTTGTTCCTCCTGAGACTTTGGAGGAGGTCCTTGGGGCTGTGAGGGCAACCACTTCGGCTCTGGACCCTTGCCCGTCCTGGCTAATTAAATCGGCCAGGGAGGGTTTGGTTGATTGGTTTGGGTTGATCATCATTGGAGCAGGGGTCTTTTCCATCTCTCCTGAAACAAGCTGTGGTTCGTCCACTCCTTAAAAAGGCTTCCCTTGACTCCACGGTGCTGAACAATTTCAGACCGATCTCCAACCTCCCTTTCTTGGGTAAGGTGCTGGAGCGGGTGGTCGCCTCCCAGCTCCAGGGCTTTTTAGATGACATCAACTACCTAGATCAGTCACAGTCTGGTTTCAGGCCTGGTCATGGCACCGAGACAGCCTTGGTCGCCTTGGTGGATGACCTCCGTAGAGAGCTAGACAGGGGGAGTGTGACTCTGTTGGTTCTCTTGGACATCTCAGCGGCTTTCGATACCATCGATCATGGTATCCTTCTGGTCGACTCTCTGGGATGGGTCTCGGGGGCACGGTTTTGTCGTGGCTCCGGTCCTTCCTGGAGGGTCGATCCCAGATGGTGAAGCTGGGAGATGCCTGCTTGGACCCCTGGCCTTTGACCTGTGGGGTCCCGCAAGGCTCTATTCTGTCTCCCATGCTCTTTAACATCTACATGAAACCGCTGGGAGAGGTCATCCGGAGTTTTGGAGCTAGGTGCCACCTCTATGCAGATGACACACAGCTCTACTACTCCTTTCCACCTAATTCCAAGGAGGCCTCTCGGGTGCTGGACGAGTGCCTGGCCGCTGTGTCTATCTGGATGAGGAGGAACAAGCTGAAGATCAATCCCGACAAGACAGAGGTCCTTCTGGTCGATCGTAAACCTGACCGGGGTATAGGGTGGCAACCTGTGCTGGACGGGGTTACACTCCCCCTGAAGTCACAGGTCCGCAGTTTGGGAGTCCTCTTGGATTCAACGCTTACGCTTGAGGCTCAGGCGTCGGCGGTGTCTGGGAGGGCTTTCGCACAACTGAGACTCGTGCGCCAACTGCGACCGTACCTCGCGAAGGCGGATCTGGCCGGAGTGGTCCATGCCTTGGTCACCTCCAGATTGGACTACTGCAATGCGCTCTACGTGGGGCTGCCCTTGAAGACGGCTCGGAAGCTCCAACTGGTCCAACGATCAGCAGCCAGGATGCTAACTGGGGCCCCTTACAGAGAGAGGTCAACCCTCCTGTTTAAGGAGCTCCACTGGCTGCCATTTATTTTCCGAGCCCAATTCAAGGTGCAGGTGCTTACCTACAAAGCCCTGAACGGTTTGGGACCAGCCTACCTGCGTGACCGCATCTCCATCTACGAACCCACACGTTCTCTTCGGTCATCTGGAGAGGCCCTGCTCGTGATCCCACCGGCGTCGCAAGCGCGCTTGGTGGGGACGCGGGACAGGGCCTTTTCCGTGGTGGCCCCCTGACTCTGGAACACCCTCCCCAAAGACCTTAGACAGGCCCCTACATTGGCTGTCTTCAGAAAGAACTTGAAGACCTGGCTTTTCCGATGCGCCTTCCCAGATTAGGAAATCTCCACCACCAAGTCCCATAAGCACTTTATCAGAACCAATGATTGCTGCACATCGCACATCGCACTTGCCCTGGAAGCCCTATATACACCTCCTGTCACATCAGCACTTTTAATCTTGTACCCATTGCTCTGGCCCGGCCCAGTTTTATTGTGTTTACTGTATTGTGCCTGTTGTTTATTTTGCTTTATTCTGTTTTTAATTGTTTGATTTGCTTAGATTGTATTGTTGTGTTGTGTGTTGAGGCTTCGGCCTCTGTAAGCCGCATCGAATCCTTCGGGAGATGCTAGCGGGGTACAAATAAAGTTTAATAATAATAATAATAATACACGTAGATTAGGCATGGGCAAACCTTGGCCCTCCAGGTGTTTTGGACTTCAACTCCCACCATTCCTAACAGCCGGAATTATGGGACTTGAAGTCCAAAACACCTGGAGGGCCAAAGTTTGCCCATGCCTGACGAAGACTGAAGTTACTTTTATATGCTATATTTTTAATAATTTTGTGCACTGACCAAAGTTTGTGTACAACGAATCATCAGAAAGCAAAGGTGTCACTATCTCAGCCATCCATGTGGAAAAATTGGGATTTTAGAGTATTTTGGATTTTGGAATTCCAGACAAGGGATGCTCAGCATGTATTTGGGATGAACCATCTATTGTAACTAGCAAGGAGACTTTAACAAGCCACTGCTATGGAGGCACTCCATCATTTTCCACTTTCAAAATAAAAAAAAAATAACATGGAAAAATATATGTGTGTATAGTGTTATTTACTTCCTTGCTTACTTTATAGATTTTCTTTAAAAGGGAAAAAAAGAACAAGGCCATCCAGCTGGAGTTTAACAGAACAGTTCTTTATCAGTCCTTGACTTTTTTGGAGTTGTGGCCATATGGCACATTAAGCACCCACTTGAGAGCTATGCTCCTCAAGGCTGTCAGATTAGTTTAAGTAGCCCTATCTAAAAGCCTAGAGACAAAGGCTAAAATCCTAGCATAAGCCCGCTCTGTAATGGGGGCAGGAGGGCAGTGTGCACAAATCAAAAGGCCCAGAAATCTCTGTTAAGCTCTAGATAGCAGGAGAAAGGACCATAGTGTAGTGGTACAACACATACTTTGCCTGGAGCTGGCCTCAGGCTCAACTCTTGGGAGTATTGGTTAGAAAAGAGTCACGTAGCAGTTGATATAAAGAACATCTACCCAGGTCCCTCTATGCAAGCAACAATAGCAAAGTGTTGTTGAAGGCTTTCATGACCCGAATCATTGGGTTGCTGTGAGTTTTCTGGGCTGTATGGCCATGTTCCAGAAGCATTCTCTCCTGACGTTTCACCCATATCTATGGCAGGCATCCTCAGAGGTTATGAGATCCGTTGAAAACTAGGCAAGTGAGGTTTACATATCTGTGGAATGTCCAGGGTGGGAGAAAGAACTCTTGTCTGTTTGAGGCAAGTGTGTTTGAGGCAAGTGTGAAGGTTGTAATTGGCCAGCTTGATTAGCATTTAATGGCCATGTAGCTTCAAAGTTTCGCTGATTCCTGCCTGGGGGAATCCTTTGTTGGGAGGTGTTAGCTGGCTCCGATTGTTTCATGTCTGTAATTCCCTTGTTTGAGTGTTGTTCTTTATTTACTGTCCTGATTTTGGAGTTTTTTTAAAATACTGGTAGCCAGATTTTGTTCATTTTCATGTTTTTTTTCCTTTTTGTTGAAATTGTCCACGTTTGCAGATTTCACACCTGCCTCAAGCAGACAAGAGTTCTTTCTCCCATCCTGGCCATTCCTCATTTGCCTAGTTTCCAATAGACCTCTCAACCTCTGAGGATGCCTGCCAAAGATGTGGGTGAAGGAATGCTTCTGGAACATGGCAATACAGCCCAGAAAACTCACAGCAACCTAGTGATTCTGGCCATGAAAGCCTTCAACAACACAATGTCGTTCAGTGGTTTAAATCTTTTGCATCAGGGGGTCAATTCAGTTAAAAATCACCTTGCACTTAGTGAGCTATGGAGTGTTTTATGAATCTACTTGAAGGTTAGTCACAGGGAATTTTCTCAACTAAAGTGAGATTCCAATGTCCTCAACTCCATTATTGAATGGAACGGACCTGCCGACAATCATAATATGTCACAGTTCACTGAAAAAAATGGCATGTGGCATTTATTGTCCCAACATAGTATAAAGTGGTATCTGAATTATATAGCACAGGGCTTCTTAACATGGTATTCAAGTATGGGGTCCATGGACAGGTTTCGGGAGAAACAGGATGCAAAAATGTGTTGTCAAAGGCTTTCACGGCCAGAATCACTGGATTGCTGTTAGTTTTCTGGGCTGTATGGTGGGAAAAAGAACTTGTTTGTTTGAGGTAAGCGTGAATATTGGAATTGGCCACCTTGATTAGCATTGAATGGCCTGTTTCAGAAGAAAATGCTTCTGGGGTGTGGCCATACAGCCTGGAAAACTCACAGCAACCCAGGATACAAAAATAGTATTTCATTGCTCTTCTTTCTGTTATTTTGAATCTATCATGTCACTACAAAATAAGCATTTAACATCTTCAATAGTTCATTGTGCCTCTCCCATTTCAGACTAACTTATGTAAAGGAAACCAAATTGCAATGCAATGCAATAAAATGAATTACATACAAAATGTATGCATACAAAGCTTACTATATAAAGCTCACTATAGTCAGTGCTACATGTCTGCTTTAACATCTTATATCTTCCAAAGGAGAGTTTTTCTGCTTACACAATTTGTTGTCATCTGTATGAACGCCTTGAAGAACAGATGTTCTTAGTATAACTTCTACATCTGAACCAATTTTTAAAAGCTGTGAAGAGAAAAGATAGATCTGATTGAATGGTACATAAGTAGTCTTAAAATGTGCTGCATAATTATCAAGCAAAGGAAATACCAGTTTTCTTAAGAGTACTGCAGTACGTTCTGCTTTTGAATCACTCAAAGCAAGTTATTTCCAGGACTGAAAGGAGTACAAGGTACACTGCGCACATCAAAAGGCACAATATTGATTTTTTTGGAACTGTGAAGTGATATTCTGACTGCTCCTTTGACTGGAAACCACAATATTAATCCCAGATAAAAAAATGGGCCTGTTCCTGTTCAATCTTTTTTTATGCAGTAGAATCCCTCAAATACCAGTCTATTTTAGTGGTTTCTCCTTTTCTATCATTTTCTTCAATAGTCACAACAACCTTTAGGCATATAATTTTCTTTCCTTGGTATCCATTTTATTCTTATTCTGATTAATACATGCAATTCATTTTCAGAGCTCAAGTGGTTAGGAGTTTGTAAAGAAGACTGACTGCAAAATAAAAATGGGATTAACAACTGTGTTTACCCTCCAAAACTTTTGCATCCTTACACCAGTGAGAAATTGCCTTTTATTTGGGCTCTGACTTTTAAATGCTGTATATGGTTTCTGACATGCATGCTACAAATCTATAATATGGTTGAAGTTGTGTTCACTGCCATGTCTTCTTCCTTGCTGCACGAATTGTAGTTTTACAAAGGAATTCATCATTTTGTTGCTAGATGATCCTGGCTTCTTCTCAATTCCCAAACATTTGTGGGGAGAAAGCAAGAATCATCCCATGATAGTTAAACCAGTTTATGTTTGCAGTTCCGATCAGGCCTCAGTGGCAGAAGAGAGTCTTATGAACGTACCTCAGCTATCCTTTCAGTAGAAGTCTCATTTTTACTTTTTTTGAATTCTTCATTAATTTTATGTCTTCCAGCTGAATAAAAGGGGAAAAAGCGAGGAGAAAGATAAATTTATATTTAGCATTTCGGTTGGGCAAACAAGATGCAAATCTGTAGCAGATTATTAGTCAATAACTCAAAAGAAATACCAACAACACAAATCACAATTATAATGATATAATAAGACTTCATTTATAACCCACCCTCTCTCCCCAAAGGGACTCAGTGTCTTTGAGTGGCTTACCACTGGCTGTCATCCTTTCTGGTCAGATCGAATAAATACCTCGGTGGCAACTGAGTTGAGGACAATTTCTTTGATTGGGGGACATTGGGTTTTAGCATCTAGTCTCGCAGACTCTCAGCAGCTCACTACTTGGTCTCATTATGTGCTTATCAGATGTAGTAAACAACACATTGAGTTTCGCTACCTGCTGACCGGATCTCACTATCCGCAAAACGTTCTAAATTGCTTAATTTCAATTTGTTCCCTTGGGGTTGATTCCAACCTATGGAGACCTTTCCCTGGGAGTTTCTTTTGGGCTGAGAGTGTGTCTCTCCCAGTGATTTTCCATAATTGAGCAGGGATTTGAACTCAGGCCACTGCACCACACTGCTCTTAAAAGTGGAGGGGAGGGGGAGGAGGAGTAGTATAGGTTTAAAAAATTTTTTTGGACTGTCATATTTCTATTGCCCCAACCATATTTGCAAGCACTGAGGTTGCTGCTGTTGTGTGTTATAAAGTTGTTTCTGCCTTACAGTGAACCTATCATGGGGTTTTCTTGCCAAGATTTGTTCAGAGAGGTTTTGCCTTTGATTTCTTTTGAGGCTGAGAGAATGTGCCTAGCCCAAGGTCACCCAGTGGGATTCCTATTAAAGCTTTTCAGTAGGCGAAGGAATTGTGACTTCAGAATTGGAGACAGCCCAGATGCAGATTAATAGTTTATGATCATAATTCTATTATTCAACTTGGAAACATAATGTATAGACAATAATATACATATTTGTTTATGAAAATTTCTCTGAAGGACTTTCTGTGTCTTGCTTTGCTAACATTGCAATGTTATAATACAGATACAAACTTCCAGTGTGGGTTTAACAGTTATTTAATAGAATCTACCTCTTTTTAGAGAACTAAAAAGCCAGAGGATCCATTTACATCTCTTTTGCAATGTTAATATTGTGATAAACACTGCGGTGGATGAATAGGAATTTGAACTCTGGACTCCGGAGCCATAGTCCAACACTCAGCTCATGCTGGGCTGAGGAGCTAGAAAAGTGTTTTGCAGCAGTGGATTTTTCTAAATTTCATGTCAAAAGCTTTGCATAAATAAGTATAAAACTGATAAAGTAGAGGAAGCACAAGTGGCTAAATAATTTTAGACCAAAAATGGGTAACAGCAACCGCATTGTCTGTAGCCTCAAACAATTCTTCCTTTGTGCATGAGGCAGGTCATTGTGGTCAAGCATACAGATGCAGAGTTGTTTGTTCTGCTCCACAGTCACACAAGATGGAGGATTCTTCTAGGTAGTGCCATTTTGCCAGGTTGTCTTTTTATCTCCCAACATCACTTCTGAATATGTTCAGGGACTTTCAAGTTGCACGTTCTTGGTTTTCAGACCCTCGTGGGGGCCATCCATTTGGGATTTCCTAGTTTAGCTGCCCACAGGGATACTTATGCAGTTGCTGAGGGAACGTTAAGAGGAGTGGTGAATCTCATGAACCTTTCCTTGATTTGAGTCTACTGGGATGAGGCTAATAGCCATGCAGTGAATGGCTTTCACAGTGTTCAACCTTATTTCTCTCACAGTTAGCAGCAACTTCCTGTCACACATTGAGGAGGGGGGTGCAGTGCTAGCTAGCTTGTAGATTTTGTCAACAGATGTATGTTTGAGACATCCTGTGATTATTCTACATGTTTCATTCAGCAGTGGAAGCTGCCATGATTTATTTCTAGAAATTCAGAACTCTGCTCTTCACAGTGTTCAGGTTTACACCCAGCAACAGATTTCACAACACAATACCATTCTCTTAGCTCAATAACTGCAGTGCTGCACAGGAACAAACCCAAGCAGAACTTCCTTCTGAGCAGCAGTAGATACCAGGCACTATAGTAGCACAAAATATCTAAATTTAAAAGACGTTTATTTATGCCCTGATTGGCCATGAAAATCCACTGGGTTACACTGGGTAAGTGATACTCTCCTATCCTCTGTTATAAGCTCACCTTAGTCACATAAATCAAAGGCACTAGAGTATGAATCAGTTAAAGAACATTCTAGTAAATCCCATTTTAAAAGATAATAAGAAAGAAAAAAATGTATTAGGCATCAGAAAAAAGCAGTTTTCTGTCCTAAGAACAACTGAAATAAAAGTTTGTGTGATAGTTCTAAACAGAACTTTGGGCAACATTTCAAAAGAATACAGCTCCACACCAGTGAAAGTGCCCCATTTGCTCCCGCCCTCCGGAAACATAGTTATATATATCATACTGAAGGATTCAGAATGCCTTCAGATCATGATGTAACACAACTTAAATGGAAAGGAATGTCTCCCTTCTGCTTAAGTTTACAATACAATTCACATCAGGAATTAGAAAGATAAATATCCATGTTATTATATTGCAAGTGAATGAAGTTATAGCAGAGAACTAGCTACTTGAATGTATATACAGGGTGAGACAGCATAAATTCCTTTTTTAAAAGTCGGTTGAAGACGTAGCGGAGCGCTAGTGGTCTCGTTCGAGAGGCGGGAGTATAACGTTTTGTCCTGACACAGTTCAGTCACCATCATGCATTGGAACAGTGAGGAGTGTGCTTTTGCCGTTGAAGCCTACTTTTCGAGCGGATTTGGAGTGGCCAGCCCGCTCTCCAGATTTGGCCCCTTGTGATTTTTTTCTATGGGGTTTTTTGAAATCCCGTGTTTCTGTGAATCATCCAAGGACCCTATAAGATTTGAAGACCAACATCCAGGAAGAAATTGCCAACATAACGCCTGCTATGCTGGCAAGAGTCATGACAAATGCCAGAAATCAGTTTACCCAGTGTATGGAGAATGGAGAATGGGGGACGTCACCTACCTAATTTGATCTTCAAAACTACATAAAACAAAACTTTAGGTATACGCTTACATTATAAAAAAAATTCTGATTTATACAATGGTTTTTATTAAGTTTTGAAAAAAGGAAGTTATGCTGCCTCACCCTGTATTAGCATGGGCAAATTTGGGCCTTCTAGATGTTTTGGACTTTCCCACCATTCCTAACAGCCTCAGGCCCCTTCCTTTTCCCCTTCAGTCACTTAAGTGGCTGAGGGGGAAAAGAAAAGGCCCTGAGGTTGTTAGGAATGGTGGTAGTTGAAATCCAAAATACCTGGAGGGCCCAAGTTTGCCCATGCTTGGTGTGTGTGTGTATATAAAAACATATTTATTTAAAACATTTATATTCTGCCCTTCTTACCCCATAGGGGACTCCGGGTGGAGAACAACATATATACAGTAAACATTTAATGCTGGGACATAAAACCATAAATGTATACTAACATTAAAATCACTTATATCCACATTAAAAGTTGCTTTAAAACCATCCCAGGACACCATTTTGCCTCACTGCACTGCCCCTAAGGGTTAATATACTATCTTTCTCTCACCCAGCAAAATATAACCATGTAGTTTTGCAGAATACTGTGAAGGAAACAGTCTTTTAGATGAGGACTGGAGAAAGATTAATGTGTTGGCTGCATGCAGGCTCTGGATTGTGGATACTGGTCTCACAGATCTCCATATCTCTCATATGATAGTTACTAGTTAGGTCAATCTATTGCCCTCAGAAGCTTGCACCACACTAAAAAATGTCATTTCAACAAGAAAACAACAAAGCTTAGGATTATTTACCTTCTAGGGCTCTGGAGTCATTTTTGAAAACTTCTTGCCTTGTTCTGTGCAAAGACTTGAAAAGTTTCAAGACCTATCAATGCAAGAGAACATTTACATTTGCAAGAAATTTACGTTGTTATCCCACTTGTATTTTTTGCAAAACTCAGTGTCCAAGATATTTTACTCCCCAAACAGGCAGGAAGTTGAAGAAAGGGAACATAAAGTAATAATAATTTAAAGCTGTATAACTATGTAAGAACACTAAGTCACCTGTCAACTTATGGCAGCCTCATAGACTTTACAGTGTTTTCTCTGGCAAAGCTGCCCAGAAGTGAGTTGCTATGAGTTTTCTGGGCTGTATGGTCATGTTCCAGAAGCATTCTCTCCTGCATCTATGGCAGGCATGCTCAGAGGTTGTGAGGTCTGTGGGAATCTAGGCAAGTGGGGTTTTAAGTATCTGTGGAATGTCCAGGGTGGGAGAAAGAACTCTTGTCTGCTTGAGGCAAGTGTGAATGTTGCAACTGGCCACCTTGATTAACATTTAATGGCTTTGCAGCTTCAGACCCTGTCTGGGAGAATTGCTTGTTGGGAGGTGTTAGCTGGCCCTGATTGATTCTTGTCTGGAATTCCCCTGTCTTTTGATTCTTGCTCTTTATTTACTGTCCTGAGTTTAATACTGGTAGCCAGATGTTGTTCATTTTCATGGTTTCCTCCTTTCTGTTCCAATTGTCCACATGCTTGTGGATTTCAATGGCTTCTCTGCATAGCCTGACATGGTAGTTGTTGGAGTTATCCAGCATTTTTGTGTTCTCAAATAATATGTTGTGCCCAGGTTGGTTCATCAGGTGCTCTGCTATGGCTGACTTCTCTGCAGTGCCGTTCATGTTCCTTGATTCGTGTTTGGGCAATGATGCATTAGGTGATCCCTATGTAGACTTGTCCACAGATGTATGGTATACGGTAGACTCCAGCAGAGGGGAGAAGATCCATCTTGTCCTTTGTTGAACATAGCATTTATTGGATTTTCCTAGCAGGTCTGATGAAGTAACACAACCTAAAAACTATCTACAGACAAGAATAAATCAGGGCCAGCGAACACCTCGCAACAAAGGATCCCCTAGGCAGCAATCAGCCAGGCTTTGAAGCTACAAGGCTATTAAATGCTAATCAAGGTGGCCATTAGCCACATTCACACTTGCCTCAAGGAGACAAGAGTTCTTTCTCCCATTATGGACATTCCACAGATATATAAACCTCACTTGCCTAGTTTCCAACGGATCTCATAACCTCTGAGGATGCCTGCCATAGATGTGGGTGAAACGTCAGGAGAGAATGCTTCTGGAACATGGCCATACAGCCCGGAAAACTCACAGTAACCCAGTGATTCTGGCCATGAAAACCTTCAACAACACATCCTTGGATGTCTTCGGAGTGAAACTCCCATCATCTCCCCAAATGCTGGATAGGGATGATGGGAGTTGGAAGCCCAACAATATTTGGAGGGCCAAAAGCAACCCAAAGCCAGACCTTCAAGCCGCAGACGTCCCCTAGCTATTTCTACCACCCGCGTTTTGTTATGAGCCCCCTCCCTCCCAACCTTGGGCCCAAGATGCCCTGCTGACCTCCCGTTTTCTCATGGCAACAAACAGAAAGAGTAGAAGCCCACGCTGGCTCAAAGAGACTAAGCCACGCCCACTCCCTCTGTCAGGTTTCGGCAAGGACCAATAGAAAATGCTGCATGGCATAGGGCGACCAATCACCGCGCTCCTTCCTTCTCTCCCGCCTCTTTAGAATGTAGAGCTTAGTAATGATAGAATGACAGCAGACGAGTTCAGCAAGGACCAATAGAAAACGCCGTCGGGAGACCAGCCACAAATCAGAGCTTTCCCTTCGTCTATTCCCGCCTTCTAAGGAATGTAAACTTACACATAGTTCCTCCCCACTTCGAGGGCTCATTAACCCTTCCCTGTCTGCTGTCCCAGTTATGCAGCATTCAAGGCTGCAGCAATAAAACGAAGTGAAAACCAGGTTGGGATGCGAAGAGTTAATGGGATAGGTTGGGATGAGTGGAGTGGAGGAAGGCAATGCTTTAGAGCAGCGTTCTTCCGGGTTACTGGACTTCATTTCCCAGAATTCCTTCTCATTGAACAAGGCAGCAGAGGCTTCTGGGAGTTGAAGTCCAAAACCCCTGGAGGGCTAGAGCTTGGGAACCACTGGTTCAGATGAAGGCATACACATCGTATTGCTTTACTGTTGTTATTTATCAATTTTCTGTATGATTTTCAATCTCGGATTTTACTAATGTTGACAAGAAACGTCATAATCATAAAATGGATATATCTCTATATTATATTACCCAGTCTAATTTATACATTTATTTATAAATACTATTTATTATTACTTCATACTGTATTACTGTAGAGGTTTATTGTAACTCAGTGTAATAAATAACGCGGTTTGATAGCACTTTAAACTGCCATGATTCAATATGCCGCATAATTTGGTGTCAAGTTGTATTCATTCTATAGTATATGCCATCACTTTACATTCTCCTGCCTGTTCAGCAACCTGATTGCATGATAAGTGAGAGGAGGAGATGACGGACAGCAGAGCGGACCAATAAGGCGGCTCGTTATCTGAAAGACACACAGAATGCGTTCATTCGCCTATGAGCTCGCTTGCCATTGATCAAGCCCGAGAGGTGGGCGGGGCCCGCGCTGTTAAACTCTTTGCGGGCACGAATGCGCAGGCGCGTCCCCTCAGCCCCGGAGAAAGATGGCCGACGAGATCAGCAAGGCACAAGTAGCGCAGCCGGGCGGAGACACCATCTTCGGGAAGATCATCCGCAAAGAGATCCCCGCCAAAATCATCTTCGAGGATGAGATGGTAAAGGGAGGCCCCGGAGTCTGCTTACACTTCAATGGGGGGCTGGAGAAGACGGCTTTATAGCAGGCATGGGCAAACTCGGGCCTTCTAAGATTGGCAGAAGCTGGGCCTAACAGTGGGAGCTCACTCCGCTCCCTGGATTCGAACTTGTGACCTTTCAGTCAGCAAGTTCAGCAGCTCAGCACTTTAACCCACTGCGCCACTAGGGGCAAATAAGCAGTTAGTAATTTCTAATGTTTACAATAATTTGATCATGGTTTCCCTTTAATCAAAATCACAAACTTGTGAGAGGTACTGTGCATCCAGGGGCGGCTCAACCCATTACGCAAAGTCAGCATTTGCAGTACAGTTGATTTTGCCCAGGGGCACTCTTGAGGCACTCTTGGGGGAAAATAGACCTTGACATATGCGAGTTGTAGTTACTGGGATGTATAGTTCACCTACAATCAAAGAGCATTCTGAACTCCACCAATGATGGAATTGAACCAAATATGGCACACAGAACTCCCACGACGAACAGAAAATATATATTAGTGATTGGTTGGGGGGGGGGGGGGGGGGGGGGGCTCTGTTGAAAATTACCTAGGGCCGTCTCTGTGTACATTTATATGAAAATAAAATTATCTTTTTCTGGCCATCTGGAAGACATAAGTACTCTGTGGAAATCTAGAAACTGGATCCCAAAATAGACTGTAGTATTTCTGGAAGACAATTATGCTGGGGAAAGTGGAAGGTAAAAGGATGAGGGGCCGACCAAGGGCAAGATGGATGGATGGCATCCTTGAAGTGACTGGACTGACCTTGAAGGAGCTGGGGGTGGTGACGGCCGACAGCGAGCTCGCGTGGGCTGGTCCATGACGTCACGAAGAGTCGGAGACGACTGAACGAATAAACAACAACAACATTTCTGGAACCAAGAAGTTACGTTGCTGTCTCTATTCTAAGTTTGAAATGATTTATGGGTTGTCTGTATGCTAGCATACTGAAGCCTCCTCCTTGTAGAAATGAGTGTGCATTCCTTTATTTGCCGGTTGTAGAAGTAGTCTGACTTGAGTTTGAGTGGGCTTAGTCCCATGAAAAATGTACGATATCCCTTCTCCAGAGTTCTGAAACGAAAATATTTAAAAACCTGAACTGCCCACATGAATGACTTAGATAATGACAGCTTTTTCCCCCAATGGTTTGATGTACTGTACACACATTTTGTTTTGTGCACTGAATTATTAAAAAAATACTGTATAAAAATATCTTGTGTCATAAGATGCATCCTGTATATACTCATGTATAAATCTTTGAAATTTTAGTCAAAAAATCTCCAGTAATGTTGGTCAACTACAGTTCAATGTAAATACTGTATCTTAACTCTCATTTTAAAAAAAAGAAATGATCTCTGAATACAATGACAAAAGGCAAGAACTTGTTGTTGTTCATTCGTTCAGTCGTCTCCGACTCTTCGTGACCTCATGGACCAGCCCACGCCAGAGCTCCCTGTCGGCCGTTACCACCCCCAGCTCCCTCAAGGTCAGTCCAGTCACTTCAAGGATGCCATCCATCCATCTTGCCCTTGGTCGGCCCCTCTTCCTTTTGCCTTCCACTTTCCCCAGCATAATTGTCTTCTCTAGGCTTTCCTGTCTCCTCATGATGTGGCCAAAGTACTTCAACTTTGTCTCTAGTATCTTTCCCTCCAGTGAGCAGTCGGGCTTTATTTCCTGGAGGATGGACTGGTTGGATCTTCTCGCAGTCCAAGGCACTCTCAGAACTTTCCTCCAACACCACAGCTCAAAAGCATCGATCTTCCTTCGCTCAGCCTTCCCTAAGGTCCAGCTCTCACATCCGTAGGTTACTACAGGGAATACCATGGCTTTGACTAGGCGGATCTTTGTTGCCATTCTGATGTCTCTACTCTTTACTATTTTATCGAGATTGGACATTGCTCTCCTCCCAAGAAGCAAGAACTTAGTCCTAGGGAAATCTAAAAACAGCACTGAGCCCATCTACTCTCTCTGCCATTGTACCACTTTTTGCCTTTTTGAATACCTGCGTGGGAAAATGGCAGTGATAGTAGCCAGAAGCATCTGGTCCCAAGGTAGCTTTGGTGTTTTTCCTCTCTATAGATTGATTCTTGACTTATCCACAGATCATATCAAAATTCATAATTTTGCCCCCAGAATCTCCCTTGAAGTCATCTTGTACACAAACATATGTGGTTGTTTCTGATGCTGGACTAAAAAAAATTCTGTTTTTGGTATTCAGGAGGTCATACTAAAGTGGTGACTTTTCTCCTTTTCTCAGTGCCTTGCGTTCCATGACGTTTCTCCACAAGCTCCAACACATTTCTTAGTGGTTCCTAAGAAGCCTATTTCTCAGCTCTCTCAAGCACAAGATTCTGATGAAGCTGTAAGTATTTTAGAGGGGCTTTTAATTATTTAAACAAGGCTCAACTTTTCAGTATGAGAATAAATTCAAACAATTTCTTTCAACGATTTTCAGAAAAGTGCTAAACAAATCTTTTGGACCATTTAATGTGGTTTGACACTAGCTTCAAAATGTGGCAGTCAGAGAAAAAACTTCCACAGAAGTGTTTAAAAGAAAGCATTTAATGTTCACCAAGTTTGTGTAGTTACCATCTGAATCTCAAACTGTTTCCAGGATTTCTTATGCATTGTCTGCACAGCAAAACCACTTTCTTCAATATTGGTGTGAAACTGCATTAAATGGTCTGTGTAGCTGTGGCCTTGGTCTGCCTTTTGATCTTTCCCGCATCTTGTATTTGTAAGTAAATGTAAAAAGTGATGAAGTTATTCTAATACTGTATAAGTATTTCCATGTATGTATTTAGTTGAGGGATCACTTCAAATTTCAGATTAGAAATTATCCTGGGATGCACTTTGAAACATCCTGATCACCTTAAATCCACTCTGAGGATTTTACTGATCTGTGTTAAATAGGTCAGGAGCCATGATAACTTTCACACTGGTAACTCTCATAATTTCCATATTGCACATGGTGAGCCATTAGATCTTTCGCTATACTTGATATCTAGTTTTATCTTTACGTGACTCAAGTTCACAATATAAATTTATTTTCTTAAATATAAGACAAGGTTATATCATTGTGTAATAAGCAGTGCTCTCATAAATCAAATCAGTTACCATGAAATGACAACTGCGTGATGTGTAAGAAACTAGCTTTTCCCACTCTGACTTCCCTCAATGGAATACTTTTGTTTTTTGGAGTCTTAGTTCAATAATTCTGTTTTGGTCTGGAAAGCTGTGTCATAAATCAAATAAATTGTTTTACTTTATCAAAGCTTTCACCAAGTGTTTTTGGTATTAATGCAGTTGTCATAAGCACATGGGACTGGTTTTAAATGATCTTCAGAACATGTCATGGCCATTAAAAATATCTGGCTCAGAAAAAAGTATAAAGCATAGGCTGTTTTATAATCAGTAATTTTGAAAGTAACTAGTCAGAAAAAGACTACTTATTTCTTTTTGTATAACTGCATACAGGAGTTTATATATCAAGTGATTGCTCTTTTTTCACCAGGACCCATAGTCTGTCCTCCACATTTGCAGGTTTAACATATGAGGATTTTATTAATATGGGTCTATCTAGGAAACTCTAGGTCCTTTAATGCAGCTCTGTGGTCAGGTTCCCCCAGAAGATGACCATATATCTGCACTGGAGTAATTAGAGTTTCTTTGAGAAGTGTTCTCTCAAGTAAAAAAGAAAAAAAGGGGGACCATTCAGTTTTTCTGCTTTTAAGGAGTTCCTGTGCTGTTAACCCTAGTGAATTCAGAAGGCTGATTGTATTTGTTTGCTTGTGGGACCATATGGCAGGTGCCTGAAAACAATTTAGATTTATCTTTGAGTGATGGAATATAGGTACGGGCCTTCAAGAAACTAAGTTTGCTTAGTTTCTTGAAGGACTGAGTTAGAACTATGTAATTACGAGTACTGTAATGTCAGAAAGATTATCAGTAGAGCCTTACAAATAGCTAGATAATGAGTAAACTGCAATTGGTTCTGTTTTTGGTAGCAGCCGAAGTGCATAATCAATCCATTCACATAGGCCCAGCTTCTCCCACAGCTGCACCAAGTTGTATGGCGGCTCTCCCAGTGCTGAATCTCTAAAGAACAGGGCCTAGAGCCTGGAAAGGTCCCATGCGGCTTAGAGTTGCTGGATGGGAGCAGTAGCTGTAAAACCAGAAGTGATTTATCACAGCCTTAGGCATGAATACACCACCCATTCCTGTCATAACATTATGGTGGCGATCTAATAAGAATGCAAAATATTGGTTTTTTTTAAAAAAAGGTACAACAATAGAGCGCCTGAGGGCTGAGAAAAGCGGTATATAAATAAAGTAAATGAATAGATTCTGGTTGGATGGAATGTTCACTATACCTCCAGAAAACTCTCCACTTTTGTGGAGGTTAGGGGCACAAGACCCCTGGAAAAATGGATAAAAACATGAAAAAAATAACTATTCCCTTTTACCTGAGAGAACGCCTCACTAAGAATCTGTAGCTCCTCCAAAGTGACTATGGACAGCATCTTTCTGGAGGACCTGGGGATTCCTAGAGAGACCATATTCATATCAATGAACAATCACATCTGCCAAAGTTAATCTTGAAAATGTGGAGGGCCATTGCAATTTTTCAAAGTTACTTCCCAAGATTTCTATAACTCTTACCCAAAGTTATCACAGGATGGCAAATGCTGAAGTTCTTATTAATATTCCCTCACAATAACAAGATGGGTTGGTAAAGCTCAAGTTTATATTCTAACCTCAAGAATGAAGCAGAGAAGAAAAGTATTTTGGATGGAATACATTTTCCAAGTGCTTGAGTGTTCTGAAAAGTGTCTTTGACTCTGGCTCTTCTGTAGTGGAAATAATGTCTTTTTTTTAAAGAAAACAATACCATGGATGTAACATTGTTGACAAATACATGATAATAGCTTAATGGTTTGAATAAGAAGACAGAGGCCATATGCTTGAAAACTGAAATAGGAATCTCTGAAAAATCTGGCCCTAAATGTGAATTGAAAATTTTCTTGATTTATTTGAGAAGTAAATGAGTTTGGAGCTGAGAGCAAGCTGAATGTTTCAGTTGTGGTAGAAGTATGAAAACAATAGAATCTGCTGGATCAAACTGAAGCTCATAGATCTGGGTTTAGAAAAAAAAAATAACTCTGCTTAGGAAAGGATGGATATGCAACTTGTCCTATGCTGGTTTTCTTTACTTGCATTTAATTCTTCACATTATTTAGATCAGTTCGGGAGGTGACTAATTGAAATTCCCATTGGCTGAAGTCTGATTCTCTGTGCGCACTTCTCAAACTTTGCTTTCGCCACCCCAACCTTGCATGTTTGCCTTAATGACTGGAATGGTATTTTCTTTACTTTTTCAGCTTCTTGGACACTTAATGATTGTTGGCAAGAAATGTGCAGCTGAATTGGGCTTGGCCAGGGGTTTCCGAATGGTGATCAATGAAGGTCCAGATGGCGGCCAGTCTGTCTACCATGTACACCTTCATGTCCTTGGTGGCCGACAACTGGGTTGGCCTCCAGGTTAAGAACTAAGGGAAAGAGAGACTGTTACTTTAAACCATCTCTTCAGTTAATTGAACACTTACCTTGAAAAATCCAACCACTGTCAATAAACTTTAGTCACTGAACCTTTGTTGAGGTGAATAACAAAGTTTGTGCAATCCATGTTCAATAAAGTTCTAAGCATGTTGAATCACCTTTTTGTGTGGTTTTTTTTTTTGAGATGACTTCTTTGAGAGCTAGCATAGTGTGGTGGTTGCAGTATTGAACTACAAATCTCTTTGGTAATAGAAACTCGGTGACCATGGAGAAGTCATACTCCCTCAGGCAAAGGCAAACCCCTCAAAAAACTTTCTCTACCAAACCCCATTATAGGTTTGTCTTAGGCCCATTGTAAGTTGTAAACAACTTGAAGGCACACAGCAACATATCGGTTCTTTCACAGAGCTTTCATACTGTATAATACTTGTTATCCTTTTGTTCTTGCTTGGAATTTGAGGTGACACACACATGATATTTAGCTTCTGTTTTCCTGGATCCAGACGTGCTTCAACAAAATGAGATTGTTGCATTGCATTATTTTAGATCATGTGCCAAACACAAGGGCCACAGGTTTTATGTGGCCCACGAGGCTTTCCGTGTCAAGGCAACATAGTTACATTTATAAAATCTTAAAATTACAAATGGTCCTTTGAAGGCAACTATAAGGCTGATACGGCCCTTGGTGAAATTGAGTTTGACATCCCTACTTTAGAGTATAACACTGAATTCCAATGACATCTTCCCATATACACACATACATGTATGAGCTGTATACATATACATTGCTTTATTCACAAAAAAACACTTGTGAAATTGGTGGATGTGCCCTTTTTTTACAGAAGGGGTGGTAATTAACAGTATCAACATCCTAAACAACTTAATGTCAATCAATAGGAACTTGGATTCTAAGCCCCAAATTATAGATTTTTCTGAAGACAGGCTCTTTGCTGATGGCTGAGAAGAGCTGTGCTCAATCATGCTTCTCAAAAATGTGGTTCCCAGGATGGCATGGACTTGGTATCATGTCATTCATCTTCCCTTGTAGCTGGAAATACATGGATACCATTATTTGTAGCTGTTGGTAATATAAGTAAAACTATAATATAATTAAAACTCTGTGTGAAGCAAGCATTGAGTCAGTAGTTGTTTTTTTTTTTTTGTTGGTTATTTGGACTAAGAAATGTATAGCACTTGATCACAGCACAGGATCCTGAATGCTTGGCTGCTGCAAGATAACAAATAAATTGGTACGGTCAGGGAAATCTTGTAAAACATAATTGTTGTGGAACACTTTAACAAGCCTCATCAAATGAGAAGATAATTTAGTGTTGCTGATTTTATCAGGTTTCTTAGGATTGTTAGTTAACTAGTAATTATAGCTGTTGAAGTACTTTGGCCACATCATGAGGAGACAGGAAAGCCTAGAGAAGACAATTATGCTGGGGAAAGTGGAAGGCAAAAGAAAGAGGGGCCGACCAAGGGCAAGATGGATGGATGGCATCCTTGAAGTGACTGGACTGACCTTGAGGGAGCTGGGGGTGGTAACGGCCGACAGGGAGCTCTGGTGTAGGCTGGTCCATGAGGTCACGAAGAGTCGGAGACGACTGAACGAATGAACAACAAAATTATAGCTGTTAGGTCGGACTGCATTAAAAGCCTATTACTGTGTTCTCCATGTTGATGCTCCAGTAGTTTCCTCTGAAACTAAACAGCTATACAAGAGAGCTAATTCTGTAAGTAGCACATGGCATTTCCTGAGTGCCATAGTGGCCAATTAGTTTGGTGAGGTGGTCTGTCAAGGTAGTTTTGATGGTGATACAAAAAACGGAGACTCATAGTTCCTCTACTGCTTTAGTTCTCAGAGTTCCCAATGGGTGACATTTTGTCATAATACTTGCAGAAGCCTTTGAGAAACAGGTGTTAACAAGTGTCAAGTTTTACTCTGTGTGTTTAGCCATTGTGGTTGGGAATCATGGGAACTATAGTGAAGTACATCTGGAGAAAGATTGCATTTAGCAACACGGTAAGAAAAAAGTGTGCTACACCTGCTTTGAAAATGAATGATGAGCTTAATTGTGCCAAAAATGATTGCCTTAGATCAGTTGCTCCCAACTTTTGTTGACCAGGGACCACCCTCCAACATTGGTACCAAAAGGGTGACGAATCAGTTTTTGGTCAGCTTTAGATTCAGTTTGGTTATTTGGGGTGTTGATTTAGAAAATTGCATTGGATAGACCACATCAGCTCTGGTTTCTGATACAGAATATATGCCATCCAATAGTCACCATCTGTTCATCCACAAAACAAAAACAAAAACATATTTAATAACCCTAATAAGAGGGTTTCACGAGACCAGTCACTTTTGTTGCAACAGTGTAGTAACGGTGAGGCCGTGGATCATATTTTAGTTCTTGTGAACCACTGGTGATCCACGGACTACAGGTTGAGAACCATTACCATAGATTCAAGTGGTTAGATGTGATATTTGAATGAGAGTCCAGATTTATTCAGCAATCAGGATTCTTAAAGACTGGACACTCTGGTTTTTTGGAGGTGAACTACTGCAGGGCTAGCTGCAATGGAAGAAACTTCAGAGTATGAGAAGAGAGCCAGGTGAAGGTAGAAGCTGGTTTCTGCATGTAGGATTTGAGAGCAAGTCCTCTTAGCTTCAGGCTACAATATCTTTCTATTGAAGAAAATAATCTCTGTACATAGCCCTGGGGCTAATGGGATTTTAAAGCAGCCAAGAAAAGCAAACAAACAAACAAACAAAAACCCCAAACAAATGTGATCCCTGTTTATTGTGAAACTTACATCTTTCAAATAGTTGTCTCTTTCATGTAAAAGACTACTTTGGCCAGACTCTGCTCTGCTCATGTTCTCATGTCTTTCCTGCTAAGAGCTTTGTAAATTTTCCTCTCTCATACAGGTGGAGGATCTCTTTTCCAAGATATTTGGGACCAGAAGTGTTCCATATTTCTATCGTTTTTTGAATTTTGGAATACAGTTCAGGTATTTCAGTATACAAAATGGCAGCGATAAGCCCTCGTTGCCAGTCATGCATTGATCAGGCTCTTTCACTTTCAGAGAGGAGACAAATGGGTGGAATGAGATGGCATTGCTGAGTTCACAGCTAAAATGCAAAAGTGCTGAAGCTGCTGCTGCTACTTCTCTACCAAAACACCTCAGCCAAAGTCAGGTGTAGAGGGAGATATGGCAACTGGTGGCAACCTTCTCTGGTCTTGGTCCAGATGAAAGCCCCATGCCAAAAAACAGCTCCCCCCCTTCTTCTCTTGTTCTGCTTCCACCGGCAGATCCTGGATTCCAGTTGATGCCTTCCTGTCCAAAGTCTTCTGCGGATGACAACTTAGTAACTGGTAGCCAAATTCGACAGTGGCAGGGCTGCCAACCACCTGCTTCTGCCTCCAAGCAGCTGTAGCACTCCTGTTTGTTTGTTCGGCTGGACAGAGACATGGGGATCTGTGAAATGGCTGGAGGAATGGATTCCTGCCATGTGTGTTTCTCTCCAACCTTGCAAATAAAGCAAAGGCACATGCATGTTTTAGCTCCAAAACAGGGAATTGGGATCATTTTAGATTTTGGGATTCAGTATAAGGGATAATAGACTTGTATGAGAACTGGAATTAGTGCAAAATGATGTTTTTTATTATTCGAATATGATGTATCCAATCATTAAAGGACAGTGGTAGTATATTGGAAAACTGTAGGAGAAGCAGCCGTAACTTAACAAAATGTATCCTAATGTAACATATAAAATGGAAACTGGGGTGAGATAAATAACTTAGGCCCCTTCCACACAGCTGTATAAAATCCACATTGAACTGGATTATATGGCAGTGTGGACGGAGATAATTCAGTTCAAATCGGATATTGTGAATTGTATGCTTTGATATTCTGGGTTATATGTCTGTGTGGAAGGGCCCTTAGTAGCATTCTTAAAACTACATATTTCACCATGAGCTTTTATGGCTATTAACCCACATCTTTCTATGTACCAACAGAGTATGATACTAAAGCCACAGGTATTTAAGCACAGTTACACTTCAATACTAACAGACCAGCTTCTTGAAAGGCTTGTACCAGCTTTACAACTCTAAAGACCTATGACAAAGTCCAGAATTTGCCTTTTTCTATTACATTCTGGTCTCTTCTGCTGGGACAGATTAATGTTATATCTTTGAAAACGATTCTATGTAGGTACCTTCAAATTACTTATTACCTTATGGCAAGCCCATACATTTTATAGTTTTCTTAGTTAAGGAATACTCAGAGGTTGTTTTCCCAGTTCCTTGTAGTTACCAATAACAATCTCTTGTTCTCTGGCAGGGTTTAAGATTTTGTGTTGGACAAGAATATGGGATAGTGTGAAATCTAGCTTTAAGTTTCACATCTGGAAGATGTTTGTAGCCGGTGTGCTGAATCAGGCTAAAATTTTATTCAGGAAGGCTTTTTAAAAATAAAGTTTTTCAGAGCAAGCCAGGAGTGTGCTGAAGGATATTTGATTGTTTTAAACAGTTTTAGATTGTTTTAAATGTTTTGATTGATTTCTTCAATTCTGTTTTAATATTTGTATATTGTGGATTTTTAAACTGCACTGTTTTTTTATTATTGTGTGCCGCTTTTGCATCTCAATCAAGCTCCCCATGTGGGAACATGAGAGAAGCCTCCCACAAGGCTGGTAAAACATCAAAAACATCCAGGTGTCCCCTGGGTAACATCCTTGCAGATGGCCAGTTCTCTCACAACAGAAGTGACTTGCAGTTTCTCAAGTCACTCCTGACATGAAAAGAACCTGGCAGTGTAGACTCATATAATCCAGTTTAACATAGATAATCTGGGATCAGATCCTGGGATATAGGACAGTATAGAAAGGGCCTGTGAGGATCTTCATTGTGCTAAATTCTTTGATAATTAATCTGAAGGACTACGGCCTTGATTCTTTCAGCAGAACGAACTGTTCCCTCAAATGTCTTCCATTTCTGAGAAAAGATAAACCCACATCTTTCTTTTTTCAAAACACTGTTCTGTTTTTCAACATAGTAATAAGAGTGGTGCATAATACAAGAACCACTGTATTTATCTGCAATTTGGCCGTGGGGAAAAAAATCTTCTTAAGGAGATAATGTCCCTCAA